CTTATGATAACGCTTGAATGGTCCCCCAATAGTTCAATTAATTTAATTTTTCACAATTTCGAAAATTATTTCCTTAAATAATCCTTAGGGGTGCCTCTTTTTCCCCAACCACCCTGCTTAAAATTTTCCATGCGGCTGATTTCCATGAAGTAGGTTTCCATGCCATATGCGCATGGAAATTTTTCCGTCCCAATTTTACATGCGGCTGAATTCCATGCAAATTTCGCATGGAACGTTTTTACAAGGGTGGTTGGTATAGACAAAGAGGTAGGTAGACGATTGAATAACTATGAGGTCTCTCGAGGAACTCCTAAGTCTATTGAAACTACATGTTTACATTTTCCTGCATTTTCCTTTTGTCACCTTCGTGCATCGATTTCAATAATCTGCATGCTCGCTGGATGTCGCAAACGAGTAGGAAGCTGTTATACAATTAGTAGCGTTTTTCGGAATCTTCGTCTACTCATTCCCGGATTCCTTAATGGAACAGTCCTCTACCAGTGGCGTAACGGACTTCCGCTGGGCCCCCCTGCAAAAATTTTTCTAGGGCCCCCCCCCCATGTTGATATAATTTCAAAATGATCCCCCCTCCCGCCCCTCTCCCTACCTTACCCTCTCCCGTTTTGTCTCTTATGGTTGAAGCCCGCAGCCTCCACTCATTCCGTTTGTTTCCTGCCGTGCCCTTCGTTCCTCCTCGAGTTAGGTTAGGTTCCTAACCTTATCCACTCAAGTCTGTAATCTTGGCAACCGGTGAAAATGTAATCTTCCTGACCGTTTTGTGACATCCATGAAGCCTGAAAACAAGAGTCAATCAGCAATGGATTCCACATGGTGCTGACTCCAACGGGCGGATTGTTGTAATTGATGGACAAAACAATAGACAAAGGGTTACAACAGTAGTAGGGTCTCTCGTGGGTTGCCGTTAGTTAGTCCATTACCTACCTCCTATGTCCATTGCTTCCACCGATAGGATTCCTCTATATCCCTTTTGTCTTCTTTGTCTATGACTATGTAATGTCAACAATCAGCCCAATCAGGTTTGGTTGGGTCACTTTTCCGGCGATTGGCTAAACTTGGCAATAGCGTGGCGCAGTCACAGAATTTCAGAGCGGGTGAGGACTGAAAAAGAGAGAAAAAATTGACCGGAGAGATATAAATCGAGTTAAGAGACGGTGGACCGCGCTCGGCCACGCCCTTTTTGCAGAGATGATAGCCGTTATCTGCCGGCGGGGGAGGGGGGGGGGAGTGGACCCAGGGACTCTCTCATCCGACGATCTGCTTGGCTAAGTGCAATGTTATTGTTATTCGGTTACTACCCTCTTTTTAACAATTTTAGCTCAACAAGCCCCTCCCATTTCGCCTTCATCTCGGTTCCCGTTGATGCCAGGATTGTCTTCTTTGGTATTACGCTTAGTAAAATTTGTACATCTACTCAATATTTATTCTTTCTTCGTTGTTATCTTTTTGTTTTGTCGTACTTCTCTATTGCTTTTTATGCAGTTCTCTTTAAATATCCGATCGTCCACGGGAAAGTGAAAATTGAACTATTTTCTCTCACGTGTAAAGGAGTACTTCCGGAAAATTTTAGTCTGTAACCATCCAAAAATATCTAGCCAAACCAACATTTTAATTGTTTGAAGTTTGCGAAGCAAAAAATTATCTTATTTTAGGAAATACGAACTATTTTCGACCAGTGGACAAGGTTAGGACCAAAAAAAATACAAAAAAAAAAAAAAAAAAACACACACACATCTACCCTCTCCTCAAAATCTTGCGCAGAAAACGATTCGCAAAACGGGACAATGAAATGGAAATAACACTAAATATACAAATGGCGTTATTCGCACTTTTGCCATGTAAACAATGTTGCTTGTAAACACGTAAGTATACCTATCTTGTTTAGGAGATGATTTTCGGACTTCCCCTTGCGATTCGTTTCCCTCGTTAGATTTTGCAAAGAAGTAATACGTGTTGTTTCCTTTAAATACGTATCTTATCTAGAAGCTCGTTGTAAGACCTATTCCTACCACATCTGAACATTGTCTCTTTTGAAAAGTAAACCTTTGGATGTTGTTTTGGGTTATTTCAGGGTTTACTTAGCTAGGGCAATTTTTACCTAAAAATCTTAACTTCCGGTCAACATCTAACAGGTACTCAAAGTTTGTCCAATCGTCAGATTATAACGCATAATTTTAAGCTTTTCCAAAGCACAAAATTCACTTCATCGCTTGTACCTTTTTCTTTGGAATACTCTAGAACACTTTTTGATGAAGATTCAAGCACCAATTTGTTGAAAAAATTCCCTCCTCAAGAACTTTTGCTCCCTAAATCGAAGTTCCGTCTTCGTGTAAACGATCAAAAGAGGGGTATCGATAAGGGCCTTTTTTGGCCCCCTCCTAGAATCTGAAAATTTATGCGGGTTTTCCAAGTTGACTCAATGTAGTTTACGGAAATAATCATGATTTAGCCCATAGGCCACTGAATACGTGTTGAACGGTTGCCTAAACATGGGTCTGCAGGCGTATTTTAGAGAAAATTCGTGTTTTTCTTTCACTCCGAGGCTTTTTTGATACCGAGCGCATCGTCTAACTAAAATGAGCTTTTGATGTGTTATCAAGGAGGTTTTAGGACACATTTTAAGCCTGGTTTGGTTTGAGTTAGATGATGCGCTCATCGTTAAAAAAACTTTTTACAAAAATCGACGTTCAAGAGACATCCGAAAAAATCATAGGGAACACGTCTCTCAAACTGTATGCACGCTATGTATATTATCGAGGTCAGTTATCAAGCCTTGTTAGACTCAAACAAGGAGATTTTCTTTAATTGTAGCAAAAAAAACCCTAAAGACGTAATTCCCTAAGATTTTTGCGGATATCCCTTAAACGTCGATTTTTGTAAAAAGTTCTTTTTAACGATGAGCGCATCATCTAACTAAAACCGAACCAGGCTTAAAATGTGTCCTAAGGCTTCCTTGATAGCATATCAAAAGCTCGTTTTAGTTAGACGATGCGCTCGGTGTCAAAGAAGCCTCGGAGTGAAAAAAAAACACGAATTTTCGCTAAAATACGCCTGCAGACCTATGTTTAGGCAACCGTTTAACACGTATCCAGTGGCCTATGGGCTGAATCATGATTATTTCCGTAAACTACATTGAGTCAACTTGGAAAACCCGCATACATTTTCAGATTCTAGGAGGGGGCCAAAAAAAGCCCTTATCAATACCCCTCCTGTGTTGATTTTTTTTTTTTTTTTTTTTTTTTTTTTTTTTTTTTTGGTTATAAATACAGCTATTGCTACAATTGATGGACCTGATACAAACTTTTTCTGCAGCAAAAATAGGGGTTGTTTCTATCAGTCAATGTCTAAAAAATTACGATGAGCGTATTGGCAAAGTTTGAAATGCACACCTAACTTCACAATCTGTGTAGATAAGAAATTTGCGGTTTTGTTTCGCGCTTCCAAAACGATACTACAGCACAGGTGAACATTTCGTTAGAGGGGTCGTCCCATTTAACCCTTTCGCAATAGACTGATTTAATGACTACGTCATTCTAGAGTACCTTTATAGACAGAGTATGGCCATTTCTGTTCCGGTTTTTCATTGGTCGCGAGCAAATAGGCTGACACGATGCTCTTAGGGCCGTAAATAAACAAACAAGATGGCCGTTATCAGCAAGCAAGATTGAGGTTATGCACATCTTACATCCTCCTGTGATAAAGGTGAAAGGCAATTTAACGATGTTTTCATGTGTTTTTCGTGTGCTATTCGTAGATATGCTCGCTTAAATTGTTACTGCCGCATAATTGAAATTTTTGTCAAATTTAGCTTCTCATCGATGTTACGGTGAGCCGACATCTTGTTTGTTTATTTACGGCCCTAAGAGCATCATGAAGCCTAAAAACTCGTTGACCAATCAAAAAGCGGAACAGTTTTCCTGTAGTAAAAAGATACGAATGGCCATACTCTGTCTATAAAGGTACTCTACGTCATTCGATACAATATGGAACTTTTGACTCAAACCATAACAAACGAACATAACCCCATGTACGATTTTTTTATGAGTTAAGTGTGTTAATTTATCAAAATTTAGTCATTGACCGGTCCAAAATCAATTAAAAACACATTTAACACGAGAACTTTTGATTGTAAGAAACGCTTGGACGCATTTTACCACCATGGCTCGAAGGGCGCGAATCAGAAACAATGTTCCGTGTTGGTTAACACTTGAACCGAGCTCGGTTCAAGTGTTAACCGACCCTCGCAAGGGTTCGATATTATATCGAATGACGCAATCTATAGCAATACCCAGCCGATACTTCCGCGCGCATATAGCGGGAGCACATGGTCAACCAAAGCGGATCATCATCGACGCAAAAGAAACGTGAATGTAAATACGCTGGGTTGTTAACAAATGGTTAAAATCTCGTTCAGGCCCATGTGTTTAGTGTTGGCCATGTTGAATATTGTGTAGTATCTTTGTGCATAGAGGTTGGATAGAACGATACCTCTAACGAAATGTACACCTGTGCAGTAGTATCGTTTTTGGGCGGGGAGCTCATAAAAATGCAAATTTCTTGCACAGATTGTGAGGTTTCGGAGTGCGTTTCAAACTTTGTCAATGCGTTCATCGTGATTCATGAGACATTTACTACCAAAAGTTTGCAACAGACCAATTGATAATATAACTATTTTAAAGTCAGAAAATGCGTATCTCCGATGAAGACGTCATAAGGCTGCTATCGTGTTTTATTTTTTTAAACAAGGAAAATCACCCGATAATTTCTCTAAAAATTCCTGTAAATTAAAATAAAGTCAGTTATTCTGAAAAAAAAATCACGAAAAATTGCAACGAAACATCTTGAGTATAGCTTTCCTCAAAAAAAATAAAACGTACCTGGTTGAAGAATTTTAAACGTTTCGATCGAGATAAGCATTTTTTGCATTTAGCCATCAATAGATCAAGTCATTCTTTGCATATGAAGGAAAAAATAACTCACGATTGCGTACGTAAAGAACAATAATTTATTGCTTGAAGAGAAAATACATAGAAATATACAATTATTATACAAAAAATAAAACACAGGGACGGATTATTATCCGTCCGTGTAAACGTAGATTGCAGACAGAAGCTGGAATATTTTTATGCTTACGAAGTACCACAGTATTTTTAATGGTAATTTTGGCCGAAAAAAAACAAGGTCACGGCACTAGCTGCACAGTTTTAGCTCTTGAATTAGCAACCAAAGAATTCATTTGCTCTCATAATTTTATTGGTATTATGATAAAGGAGTGAAATGAGAAATCATTTCCCGTGATTAATTTTTTCGCTTCCTTAATTAATTATCAAAATGTTTTCCTGCCTTTCAAGTTAAATTGAGATCAAAATCAGATAATGTGTTTCCTGTGGAGTCAAAAAAATGTCCTTACTTTTGTTTTTATTTATTCCCAATGTTCTAAATGACAAAAAATTTCCGAAACACAGCTAGAACGTTTTTAAAAAACGTTTGTACACGTTTCTGATGTGTTAGGATACTTTAAGAATTATTGTTTTATTTAGCTGTCTCTAAAATGCACTCAAAATATGTACCTAATTGGAAGCATGTCAGTAGAAAAGTCAGAGTGTCAAGGGAGGATCACGTTTGGAATGAAAGGATGCGTGAAATTATGGGTGTTGAAAACAACACAGTACATGACATTTTCATAAAACAGCTTGTCTGGTATGGGCATGAGCAAAGGATGCCAGATGATAGGTTGCCTAAGAAGGTTCCAAATTGGGCCCCCCCACCCCCTAGCAGAAAACGTAGAGGACGTCCTGCCAAAATGTGGATTGATGAAATAAGATAGGAAATTAGGAGATGCGATTTGCCGGAGGGGCTCGGGCAGGATCGCTATCAGTGGCAATTGGGTGTCGGAAGGCGCACAGAGGCGCTGTAAGGCGACATGTTAGTTAGTAGCATGTCAATAGAAACATTTTGAAAATATCTCCTAGATTGCAGATGTTACGAAAGAATGAGATAGACGACCATACTCGCGCAACTCTTCAAACTCCAACGTCGCGAAATTGCCGCGCGCCGTAACTGAAGGTGCGCCTTGTGAGTGTAAAGTGACAAAGCTATAGCAATGACGAACGGCTTGATTTGACATTAGCTTGAAATATATACATCCATCCACAATTTTTTGCAACGAGCTCATTTTCGAGTCTTACAGGGTGGAATTCACTATCAGCTCAACTACAACAGACATTGCCTGATTTCGTCTCATGTCTTATTACGAGTGACAGAGAACTGAGCAACATTTTTATTTGATACTAAGCGCACCATGCATATGAAGCGCGCTTTATTGTGATCGCCGAGAGTTCAGTCACTATAGATATGCGTTTCGAGTTCCGTTGCTCACTGGGTATTTTTAAAACCGTTTTTATGGCGGGAAGATTTTTTAATTTTTGCATCGTGATAAATAATTATTGAGCGCATTTAGATTCCTGGTAAATGTTTTTTTAATCAATGTCGTTACTGAAAGAACCCATTGGATATTTTTCTGTGCCTATAGAGTTCTTTAATTTTTACCTATTTATTAATTTGCTTCGAGCAAATCGCGATTCAAAAGAACCTCCGTTACATCTGGAAGCCACGAAACCTTGTACGTTTTATATTCAAGTTTTTGATTGGTTATTATTGTGCGCAACGGATCCTGCCACTGCTTCCGTATAATTCGTATGAGTCGTATATAAGCTCCGCCATGGATGAGTTTCGTGCATTTAAATAGACATCGCTAACAGAAGCAAAAGCTCCGTAAGAACCAATGTGAACATTTTTCTTCCCGGGGTCGGTCAATCTTCGTCCTTATTGAAACCTGATTTGAGCAACCTACAATTATAAAATTGGGAAGAAACAAAAAATATAAAGCAACCCCACAGTATACTTCTCCGGCATAACAGTAAACAAGTGTAAGAAAAATCTCTTTTAATTCCTGAAACGTTTGTTTCCGTTACTTATCACTCGGCCTTTGCAGGACGTCGACATGCCGCAAACGTGAACAGTGCTCATTGACTCAGCTTCGCTTCGATGACATAAAAATGGCGGTGGCTTTCGCTTCTGTTGACGTAGTACATATATTATATGACATTATAAACCACCTAGTCCAGGCAAACATGGAAAAGAGCCTGCAAAAATCCCGGGTAGCAATGTTTTCATCGATTCCTATGTAATTTTTGACGCAGAATCCGAATTTCAACTTTGCGCCATTAAATTCGGACCGGAAAGTTGCCAAATTTGGCAAAAATGGCCTAAAATCGGCCTTTTTTCCGGATTATGGCCTGTAACTTGCCAAAAATTGATCTGACGATAAAATTAGTTATTTTCAGAAATAAAGCTCGTTAAATTTCCTATAAAACAATTCCTATACACTGTTTTTCTCAGGGCAAAATCAAGCGCGCTGGCGGGCTCCGAACTTTAAAAAATGAGCGAAAATTGTGTTTTTCGCGGTTTTTGCCCGATGTCTCCTGTTTTAATCGTCCGACGAGTAATTTCTGGACAAATTAAGTGCAGATGATAAAATTTACACTTACTGAAATGAATTGATGTAAATAATAAGGATAACCCAACACATTGCAGTATGCGCAATTTTCGCACATTTTACGAAGTTTGGAGCCCGCCAGCACGCTTGATTTTGCCCTGAGCAAAAAAGTGTGTAGGAACTGTTTTATAGGAAATTTAACGAGCTTTATTTCTGAAAATAACTAATTTTATCGTCAGATCAATTTTTGGCAAGTTACAGGCCATAATCCGGAAAAAAGGCCGATTTTTGGCCATTTTTGCCAAATTTGGCAACTTTCCGGTCCGAATTTAATGGCGCAAAGTTGAAATTCGGATTCTGCGTCAAAAATTACATAGGAATCGATGAAAACATTGCTATCCGGGATTTTTGCAGGCTATAGCCCCTTTCATGGCTTATTTGCCTGGACTAACCATGCAACGACCACCATGAGCAACATTCAAGTTAAGCCAAAGGAATTTGGTTTCTACGGTTTCGCATGGAACTCCTAATAACGCGCGTTCAGACAGCTCGGCAAGCCGCTCAACGAGCCGCATTTCAAACATGTAACTGTTCCCCCGGAATTCCGCACGAAGCTAGCGCTGATTTTATTGTTGATCTTGTAAAGCTCGACATGCCATCTGAACTTCTGAACGCGTCGCCGCAGTTTTCGGCTGCGTATCATTTCCGCCCACTTTCCTCGATTTAATCATTCCTCCCACTTTTCAATTTAGTTTCATATTTAGGTAAGCCATTCGGCAACACGGAGAGCAGAAAAACAAAAATACTTCTCTGACTGCATTATGCGTTGAGACTTCGACATTAGAGTCCCTTTATACCCAGAGTTAAGACAACTCACTTTTGGTTGGGCCAGGGTTGGGCTGAAAGTGGCCTAAAAAAAAAATCCAAATCTGATTGGTTCTCGTTCACAGAGGCCGAAACGAGTGCACCAAGATGGCGGTACCTCGAATATGAACAAGAATAATGAAAATCTTACCTAATTGTGGTTTATCAAGAGTGAATTGTTATTTCCATCGGTCCAAAATGAAAATAGAATAAGAAATTATTCACAAACCAATCTCATTTTCTTTTTAATTGATCAATTTGTTGACGTTGTTGTTTTTGTGTGACAGACATCGCAGGATTCCTGATCCTTATCCCTCAATATCGTTCGTTTGGGTGCACTCGTTTAAGCCTCCATGGCCAGCCAAGGCCGGCTGCCAGTCAGCTGATAATCGAGTTGTCTTAACTCTGGGTATAAAGGGACTCTATTCGACATCTAGCATTATCTCAATAAGTATTATATAGCTAACTCATTATCCGCGATTTCAATACACATTCTTTGCAGAATCTGCCATACAGCAGTGTATGTTTCTTGACTCTTGGAAGGTAAAAAAAAAAGTGGCGACACGCACGTACAATCCATTGCTCCATACATGGAGTGTGTATTTCTGAACATAGTATCTAGGCGCGTACTTAAATTTTCCATCTGATAAAACTTTCTCATTATACTTTGTTGACAACTCCACCCTCCTCCTTTGGTTTACGGACAGTAGGTCCACAAGAAAAAGGGCTACAAATACAAAAAAAGGGGCTACCTTTTTTGGTCTACAGTCAAAATATCCACATGAAAATGCCTATTAAAATAGTGTCTATATAGTAAAATATGTCTGCGGTATTAAAATGTCTTTAGTTTGACTGCCTACTCCAAAAATGTCAAAGTGCGTATTCATATCGTCTGTTAAGAATCGCATTTGAAAGTGTATCCCCAAAGACAGGACGAGGCTGTGGATGCTGCAGAAGAATCGCATTTGAAAGTGTATTCCCAAAGACAGGACGAGGCTGTGGATGCTGCAGAAGCTGATGCGTAAAAATTGTGAGTCACATTTCGCGAATAATTGACCCTATAAATATCAACATGTATATTTTAAATATATTTTATTTATTTTTTATTTTATAAATATATTTTATATATTTTTAGTGGCCAACATAAATATTTTGACATTTTCTAAGTGGGCAAACAAACAGTTTACATTTTAATAGCATAGACATATTTGACTGTAGACATAATTTCAGTAGGCATTTTAATGTAGACGTTTTGACTGTAGACTAAAAAAGGGAGCCCTTTTTTTTGTAGCCCTTTTTTGTAGCCCTTTTTTTGTAGCCCTTTTTTCTGTAGACGTACTGTTTGCATACCCCTCCTTTGTTGGATGCACCGCACTCCAAAATACCTTATAAGCACGATATATTGTCTATAATCTGTGATTTGCTCTCCAGTATCCAAGCCGCTTTTGACACAGCAATAATGTGCGAAAATAAAAGTGGGCGACAATGATTATCCGGAAAAAAGGTGAAAAATTGAAAAATGGACGAAAATTATACGCACCGCATTCTTCCAAATTTAATACGGAATTTTTAACGGATTATTTGAAAATTTGTGTCCAGTTATAAAACTTGGATACCCTGATTTTACGAGGATATTATTTAAGGCGCATATGCCTCTTTAGACAACTTAGAAGAGAAGCATAAAACTGAATGTGAGAATATACATATCGACGGCGAGTCCGCAACCACGTATCTCGTTTGCGGTGTTTGAATATCTCCGCCTCTATATTATTTTTTTTAAGAAGAACGAATTGACATCATTCTTTGAAGTTTTAGCAGAATTTTCTTCGCACAGAGAAGAAAAATCACGGCAGTTATAAAGAATTTTCGTTGAGTAGTTTTCCTTTTAAAAAATAAAGTATGACAGGAAGTTTGCGACGTCGTAAACCGAGATAAGTGGTTGTGGACTTACACCGTCGATATACATATTCACGGCTACTCACGGCGCGCACTTTTAACACTGAGTGTCGGAATTTCCTGCCTGTTTTATTAGTATATGTATTCTTCATAATCTGAGGCACATTTCAGAGAGATTCAAGGTGATATGTTTTTAAGATTTTTGTGATAAACTAAAACGTTCAATGAAATTTTGCATGAATATGACATGTGTCACATCAGTATGCCCGCGTTTCATATAGGTAGTATCACGTGAATTAGACATGCGTATCATTAGCATGACATGTGTCACATGAGTATGACATGTATCACATCAGTACGCCATGTGTCCATCAGCGTAATATGTGCCGCCTAAGCATAATCTGTGTCACATCAGCTCACTGCGTCAGTGGTTCCGGCGTCTTGATCGGTCGGGATCTAGAATTCGACAGATGCACCAATCCGAGACCACACTTCTCGAGCTGTTGGTGTTGACTCCTGACTGCAAACCTAGTGACGTGCACCGGAATCGGAACGACAATTTTGCAGCCGTTGTTGGGTGGATTTCCGCCCGAGGAGCCACCGGTGGATCCTAGGCCCGCTTTCACCCGCTTCCACTTCGCCCGCCGATTTTGGAACCAGATTTTAACCTGTGAACATGCAAAACCGAAGAATAAGTCTGGGGTCATAACTGAACAATCTTAAAGACAAGTCACTAAATAATAGCACTACAACTTTGGTGTAATCGAGGGCAACCCGAGACAAAGGACAAAGCTATGGAGAAAGCGATCGACGAGGAAGACAAAAGGAAAATGGAACGATCTCATTGGTGGCAGGTTTACGTACATATTGTGCTTTCGATTTTACTTACCGTACCCTCGGTCCATGCAGCGGAGCTTCTCCTAGTTCGGTTTGGCTCGGAGGCTCAGTTGTATGAACCTGGAATACTGTCACATGAACCAAAAAGCATGACCGGTATGCAGCATCGAACTAATGGTTCATTTGGACATATTTATGCTAAAAGGAACTATGTGCAAGTGGAAAGATGAGGTCTGCTCGTGGAAGCTGGATAAGAAACAAATGTAAACGTGGATATACGTCCTTTTGAGAAAATGGAAAAGCGGGATTTTCGATTAAATGATTTAATTTAATTAATCTTTAATTGATTAAGTTAATTTAAATCAGAAGGAACTGAACGCTAACCCGTGAGCCGTGGACATTTATGCGACAGGCGCCTTGTGGACAGGGCTTATGAGTTAAAAGAGTCCCGCCACCCATCTCCTCGTCCCGCCCGGTCCCGATCGTTGCTGTTGACGTCACTGGCGTTTTTAAAGTCCCGTTTATTCTTATGGCCCTCAACTGACGAGCACATCCCATCTTTCTTTTTGCACATAGTTCCATTTAGCATAAATACGTTCATTTGTTCGAACTTCATTCTCGCCGTGGCTCCTCTCAGGAATCCTATACCGCGGGGTTTCATGGAGAAAATTGTTCGGATTTTGCGAAAGGACTGAGTGACATTCCTGCCTTATTTTCAATTTAACTTCTTACGCTAAAAAATAGCTCAAAATTGTTCCTGAGACATCGGAATTTTCAAAATCGTCTATTGGAAGCTCTCGAAGCTGAAGAAATATTGATACCTAACATGATAGTGGCATCCGTCGACATTGGCGTAATCGGAACACCTGTTGGTGACATTATAATGACATTCGGTGATGTTTTTGTTACATATAAGAAATTTTTGTTTAACAAAATTGCCTTCAGCGCGCGATTGAGTGTCAACTGCTCTTTCTCAGATTAACGTCAGCTCGAGTCGGCGCAAGACGCTCTAAAAGACTATACTCCACGTTCAAACTGGAGGTTTCAAAAGGGCTTACCAACTACACGAAATGACATTGTTGGTCAATTAGAGAGCATGGGCGGAAATATGGGGGGAGGGGGGAGACCCCCCACAATTTTACACCCGAAGGGGTTTTGGAAGCAAAATTTGGAAGCAACATTTTTGGAAGCAAAAATGTCAATAAGGATCCAAGCTACAAATTGGTTTTGAGGTAAAATGCGTAAGGAATATATTGAATATGAGCATAATCCTAATATAATCGATCAAAGAAGTCAGAAGATGAAAATTTCTCGCTAAGAGAGCAGCTTCCTCCGGTTGAGGAACGAATTTAATTCCATATAGTTTGCCATTGAGAATTGCCTAAAATTGCTCTCGAGACGTTCCAATTTTCAAAAAATTTCAGGGGAAGACCCCCCCGGATCCCCCTCAGCCAAAGTTCTATATCATCCTGTGCTCCCCCCCCCACAAAAAATTCCTAGTTCCGCCCATGTTACAGAGCTAAAAAGTCATCAATTGGCCCTTTTGAAGCTACCGGCCTTGCAGTGGTGATTCGTGAATCGTCCTCAAGGGATATTTTTTCATTTGATGCTATAAACTAAAGCATCGATTATCTAGGTATACCTACCCTGGTATTCGATATTTATCGATAGGTTTAATTGGGAGATTAATCGAAACATGGCAAAGCACAACAAGTCGACATGCAACGGGGTCATGGAACTCACGAACCCGTACCCCATACCCGAAGGATGAGCTCCCACTTTCCCTTTCACAAACTTCTTCAATGAAAAATAATTTGAAAGGAAGTCTTCTCATACATAAATGATTTTACAAATTTCGTTGTATATTTTTACAATCTCATTAAGTCATTTGGATTTCGATTTGATTGAGTCGCGCGTACCGCATTGTTTCATATGCAGTCTATTATTGTGATAATACTACACACAAATATTACATCGTATGCATCTGTCTGACTTTATAAGAATCCACGAAATCGGTGAAAGGGATTCTATTAGATTTTAATTCACTCATCCAACACGAAATTGGGCAAATAATACGATCACACATGAGTGGTCACTAGAAGATCAAAAATCTTCGAAGGAAGTGACACGGGCTGCCTTTTTAGAGGTTGCCAAGTTGTTTCTCACGCCTTTGTGATAAATCAACAAAATGTGTTGATCGAGGCTAGCAAGATACTTCTTTTTAGGCTTTGTCGGCGCCTGCTGATGACATGCAGTCATGTTTCAATGAACTACAAGAAACTAGAGTCCCTTTATACTGAGAGTAAAGACAATGTGAATCCATTTCTGATTGGTTCCCTTATTTTACGCCTTCACAGTGTCACACATAGGAATAAAGATTACAGTTTCACCAATTGCAAAGATAATAAACTTTGGACCGGGATATTGGGGCCACGGCAAGGAACAAATGGAATGAGAGCCCTGGTAAAAATAGCAAATGTTAGGCCAGTGAATTTTCCACTGAGGTCAGTGCAATTTGCTCTGAGGTCAGTTCAGTTTTCTCTGACGAAAGTATTAAGGCACTTACCCAAGAAGTCAGCACCGAGGTAAGAGGCACTGACTTGATAGGAATCACTTAGGTCAGTGATCATTTCACTGAGGTAAGTGGCATTTGAGGTCGTGAGACGGACTTACGTAAGTGTTCGGTTTACTGAGGTAAGAGGGACTAACGTCGGGAGAAAGACTTACCTAAGTGCAGCACCACTTACCTCAGAGACTTCTCTGAGGTGAGCGGGACTGAGGTCAGGACTTGGTTCAGAAGGTAAGCCTCTGACATCAGTCTTGATCGAACCGCACTCACTCTCAAAAAGTAGAAATGGCCTTCCCCTTCCCACACCCTATTTTATTTTCGTGGGGGAATATTTCCTTGGGATATGGGGACCACAAACTTTATCTTACAGAAAGGCATATTTTTTAGGAGGGGAGATTTTCTAAGAGGGAAGGAAAACTTGTTTAGGTAGCCACACTCTTGAATAGTTATTTGTTTTACCTTCTTCGTTTATGATGGCACTTAAATAATTAAAGCACAAAAAAAAATGAGATCAGTAAAAATATTATCACCGCTATATGTATTTAGATGTATTTATTTAGGTATTACTATCAGTTTAACTAAAGAGTTTTTTTTTTATAAAAAAAAATTAAAATTTGGTTTTAATTTGTTTTCAGTTTTAACTCTTTTTGAAATCTTTTAGTCTTAATTTTTTTTAAATTTTCCTAATTTCTTTTTAATTCTTTTCCAACTTTTTTACTCCTTTACTTTCAATTTTTTTATCTGCTAATTTATAATTTTTGTATCATTTCAACTTTAATTATTTTTTTTACATCCTTAGCAAATTCCATCCATTTGATCCATTATGAATTTTAATGCGGTCCATTTTGTTTTTGTTTTTTTTTCAAAGAAACATAACGTATAAAACTTCACTTACATGTTGATTAATTAAAAAAGAATAATAAAAAATTAAGAGCGGATTCAAATTCAAAGACAAAATCATCATTTGCTGGCAAAATTACTCCAATGGGGGCGCTAAAATGGCACAATTACGCCCCTAACACTTATACGTGCAGGTAGTGTAGTGGTTCGGTCGCTAGGTCGATCCCCGAAGTTAAGCTACGTCGGGCGTGGTTAGTGCTTAGATTGGAGACCGGACGGGAACGAGCGTTGTCCACTGAAGATTGTGATAATTACTTGTGATTGAAAACTTACAGCAGTCCTCCCTGGTCGTCAAATAGTGAATTTACGTACCTGGCGTAACGGTAATTAATTAAAGTTTTGCCTTTACAGAATTTCTAGGAGTTTCCACTTCGCTTACTTCCGAGGCACTAGGTCAGTGCCACTTACATCGAGGCACTTGCCTTTGGAACAGACCTAACACTGACGTAGCAGATCAGCGCCCGGCAGCATTGACATCAGTGTTTAGGTCTGTTCCAAAGGCAAGTGCTACTGATCTGAGCACTTGCCATTTTTACCCGGAAGAGGGAACGGAGATAGGAATTCGGGAGTGGGTTGATCAAAGATTACAAAAAACGTCCAATTTGTGTAATCTTATTCATTCCCGTTTGTGACATGAATAAGCCGCGTTGAATTAACTCTCTCTATAAAGGGACTCTACAAGAAACCGTCACTTTTTTCCATGTATGATGATTTATTTTTGAGTTGAAGGTTGAATGTAAAATTGGACAAGGTCTGAACTTGGAGAAAAGTCACATATTTTCATCTCGAAATCTTACGTAGAAATCGAGTAACGCAACGAGAGTAATGAGAATCAACTACTGAACGAGCTATTATGTTTGCCTTTTATCCAATGTCAACAATGAGAAATTATTATACCTTGTTTTAAAGTTGATTTCCAAACTTCACGTTACGTGATTTATTTTTCTTGTGACGCTTTGAAGATGTTTCTTTCCGTATTTTCTGAAAGGAAAAGTGGATTCGTACCCGTTGAATCCTTATCTTATTGCAGAACTGTAAATCCCATTTGAACTTGCACTATTTTGATCAGATTACTTTAATCCTATACGTTCAAAATTGTTTTTGAAAGACCAAATTCTTGTGAAAGGGAATAAATAGTATATTTCGCAAAGTATAACCTTTGAAAAAATATTTAGTTTGTAAGTTTTGGTCTATTACTTTGAAATTTTACAATATGGGGGGGGAGGGGTTGTTTTCTCCCCAAGGCCCCCCGAAAATCAAGTTTTGCCAGCTTCTTTTTATATTGTAAATGCGCGGATTAAAAATTACTATTCAAGGATGCAGTTACCTTACTTTCGCAGTGATAAAAATAGATGGTAGATT